ACTGCCTCAGTTTCTGTTGTTATGTCTCCCCTTTCAGTTGTGATTTTATTAATTTGGATACTTGTCTCTGTGCCCTCTGGTTAGTTTGGCTAAGGGTTTATCTATCTTGTTGATTTTCTCAAAGAACCAGCTCCTGGTTTTGTTGGTATTTTGTATAGTTCTTTTTGTTTCTACTTGGTTTATTTCAGCCCTGAGTTTGATTATTTCCTGCCTTCTACTCCTCTTGGGTGTATTTGCTCCTTTTTGTTCTAGCACTTTCAAGTGTATGCTGTCTCCAGTTTCTTTTTGTAGGCACTTAGAGCTATGAGTTTTTTCCTCTTAGCACTGCTTTCATGGAGTCCCACTTGTTTTAGTATGATGCGTCCTCATTTTCATTAAATTCTAAAAAGTCTTTAATTTCTTTATTTCTTCATTGATCAAGTCATCATTGAGTTTCCACATGTATGTGGGCTTTCCATTGTTTCTGTTATTATTGAAGACCGGCTTTAGTGTGTGGTGATCTGATAGGATGCAAGGGATTATTTCAATCTTTTTGTATCTGTTGAGGCCTGGTTTGTGACCATTTTAATTATATGGTCTACTTTGGAGAAGGTACCATGAGGTGCTGAGAAAAGGGTATATTCTTTTGTTTTAGGATGAAATGTTCTATAGATATCTGTTAAGTCCATTTGGTTCATAACTTCTGTTAATTTCATTCTATCTCTGTTTAGTTTCTGTTTCCATGATCTGTCCATCGCTGAGAGTGGGATGCTCAAATGTGTCAGGTGCAATGTGTGCTTTGAACTTTAGTAAAGTTTCTTTTATGTATGTGGGTGCCCTTGCATTTGAAGCATAGATGTCCAGAATTGAGAGTTCATCTTGGTTGATTTTTCCTTTGATGAGTATGAAGTGTCCTTCTTTATCTTTTTGGATTACTTTTGGTTGAAAGTCAATTTTACTCGATATTCGAATGGCTTCGCCTGTTCGTTTCTTGGGACCATTTGCTTGGAAAATTGTTTCCCAGCCTTTTACTCTGAGGTAATATCTGTCTTTGTCACTGAGGTGCATTTCCTGTATGGAGCAAAACTCTGTGTCCTGTTTATATATCCAGTCTTATAGACTATGTCTTTTTATTGGGGAATTGAGTCCATTGATATTAAGAGATATTAAGGAAAAATGATTGTTGCTTCCTGTTATTTGTGTTATTAGAGGTGGAATTATGTTTGTGTAGCTATCTTCTTTTGGGGTTGTTGGAAGATTAGTTCCTTGTTTTTTCTAGGTTGTAGTTTCCCTCCTTATGTTGGAGTTTTCCATCAATTATCCTTTGAAGTGCTGGATTTGTGGGAAGATATTGTGTAAATTTGGTTTTCTTATGCTATATCTTGGTTTCTCCATCTATAGTGATTGAGAGTTTTGCTGGGTATATTAGTCTGGGCTGGCATTTGTCTTCACTTAGGGTCTATATGACATCAATCCAGGATCTTCTGGCTTTTATAGTCTCTGGTGAGAAGTCTGGTGTAATTCTTATAAGTCTGCCTTTATATGTTACTTTACCTTTTTCCCTTACTGCTTTTAGTATTTTTTCTTTGTTTTGTGCATTTGATGTTTTGATTATTATGTGACGGGAGGTATTTCTTTTCTGGTCTAGTCTATTTGGTGTTCTGTAGGCTTCTTGTATGTTCATTGACATCTCTTTCTTTAGGTTAGGGAAGTTTTCCTCTATAATTTTGTTGAAGATATTTACTGGCCCTTTAAGTTGAGAATCTTCACTCTCATCTATACCTATTATCCTTAGGTTTGGTCTTCCCATTGTGTCTTGGATTTCCTGGATGTTTTGGCTTAGGAGCTTTTTGCATTTTGCAGTTTCTTTGACAGTTGTGTCAATGTTTTCTTTGGTATCTTCTGCACATGAGATTCTCTCTTCTATCTCTTGTATTCTGTTGGTGATGTTTGCGTCGATGACTCCTGATCTCTTTCATAGGTTTTCTATCTCCAGCGTAGTCTCCCTTTGAGATTTCTTTATTGTTTCTACTTCCATTTTCAGATCCTTGATGGTTTTGTTTAATTCCTTCACCTGTTTGTTTGTGTTTTCTTGCAATTGTTTAAAGGATTTTTGTGTTTCCTCTTTAAAGGCTTTTACCTGTTTACCTGTGTTCTCCTGTACTTCTTTAAGAGAGTTATTTATGTCCTTTTTAAAGTCCTCTATCATCATTATGAGAAGTGATTTTAATTCTGCATCCTGCTTTTCCAGTGTGATAGGGTGTCCAGGGCTTGCTATGGTGGGAGAACTGGGTTCTGATGATGCCAAGTAACTTTGGTTTCTGTTGCTTATGTTCTTGTGCTTGCCTTTCCCCATCTGGTTAACTCTAGTGTTACCTGCACCCACTGTCTCTGACTGGAGCCTGTCTTTCCAGTTATGTTGCTTGTGTCAGAACTCCTCAGAGTCCAAATGTCTCTGTGATCCTGTGATCCTGAGCTCCTGTTTGGAAGAACTCCTGAGACTCAGGCTTCCTCTGGGATCCTGAAATCCTGCTGCTCTGAGTGCAGTGGTTCCTCTAGGATGGCTCAAGATACAGTGTCTTCACGGGAGCAGACCAGTTAGGTGTCTGCCCCAGCCAAAATCGAGATTTACCTCTTTATATAAAACCTTTAAATTGTTTTAAAATAAAGAAAGTGGTGAATAAGATTTCTGAATTAACACCTCCTTATCTCTGGGGACTTAGCAGCGTCCTTCCTGTCAGCACACTGCAATAGATGACAATGTCTCAACGTGCTAATACCTGTAAATGCATTGCCCTCTGCACATACTAAAGGCACAAGAGAACTGACTGTCAATACTTAGGTAGAACCCTTTTCTCTCCTGTGTTTGAATTCATGTTATTCTGCTGCTGCTTTCTATTCTGACTATTTCTGCCAAGTGCACAGCCTAATACTGTTGTAGCACTTGTGTTTCTGAAACCCTAAGTAAAGAGTACTTTCTCTTTCATATCCCAGGTAAAATTCAGTTGTACAGTCTGCCTAAAGGACCCAGTAGTAATGAGTACTAAGTGAAGTAGAGATAAAAAGGTGTGTGATGGTTTTATTTTAAAAACAAAGGAAATTATTACCAGGTAAAGCTAATAAACTTTACCACTCTGTCAATTTGCTAGATCTAAATGTATTTTTTCCAACATTTTACAGGATAATTAGGAGTTGACAGGAAAAGGTGATCGCCCTTGGGTATGGGTTCAACATCTCCTATACATTATCTTTTCTAATCTCCTAACTAAAACTATGAAACTTGGGGATTGTGATCTTTCTCCCAAAAGAAGTACAAGCTAAAGAAAGCAAAATGTCTGTGGCCACACTGAAATGGGGTACAGAGGAAAGACAGCAGCAGCAACTCAGAACCATTAACCTTCAGCACACTTCCATTAGTACAAGGACATCTTCAATCAGAAAGTAATAAAGGGGGGTTAATCACTTTTTCAAAGCCATTACTTTGATTTAACAATTGTACTCCTTCCAAGTAACAACAAAAAGTCTAGTTAGCAGCTGAATAACACTAATATTTAATATAGGATGAGTAAATTTAAAAAAAAAGTCATTTCAGTAGTGTGATACTGTACCACACGCAATAGGTGTCTTACCTACATATTTACACAGAACGCCCTGTGCCGCGGGGACAGCATTCATCTGGAGGATGTTGTACTGGTATAGCTCTGTTTCTCTGTTGTTTTTGTCTTGTAATGTTGTACAAACCCAATATGCATAACCTATTGCTCCTTCAGTCTTAAAAAAAAAATCCAATTGAACTTAGAATAATAAATATTTCATTAAAACTAAGAAAGAAAGTAGCATACTTCAATAACAATAGCATCCTAGCTTAGTCTTCCTTAAGTGCCTTTAACAAAAGACGCCATGAGGGGGAAAATGGTTGAGATCAATTTAAAATTGCTTCTCTAATCCTGAGGAGAATCAAATACAATAAAGAGTAAAGAACAAAGGCTTGCCAGATGGGCTCGCTTTCCCTTCTCAGACCATTTCCACAGGTTAAACAAAACTAACTCAATGTATTTCCAGAGTCTAGTTATCAACTAAAGCCATCATGTCCATTTTTTTAAAATAATCTCAATTTCTTTTCAACATTACTCTTATTATATGTAATAAATCTCAATGTTGGGGCTGGAGACACAGCACAGTGGTTAAGAGCACTGGCTGGTCTTCCACAAGACCCAGATAATTTGCAGCACCCACAAGATAGCTCACAACTGTCTGTAACATCATCCCCAGGCCCTCCAATGCCCTCCTCTGGCCTCCATGGACACCAGGCACACACTTGGTACACAGACATACATACAGGCAAAGCACCCATAAACAGAAAAGTGAATCAATAAATGTAATCTCACTGTCATTTTTCATCAGCTTGAACACTGAAGATAAAAACAAATATTTCTCGTAAAGACAGTTTATGTTAAGACAGAGAAAAAACAGCTATCATTAACATTTTATACCACTTTATAACACTATGCCACTATTTATCTTTTTCTTTTACTTTTTATTTCTGGTTTTGATTTTTTTGAGACAGGATTTAGTGTAGCTCAGGCTGACTTCACACATGCTCTGTAGCTGAAAATGACCTTGAACTCCTGCTCCTCCTGCCTCCACCTTCTGAGGGTCACTGTTCCCAGTCTCTACCCATCTTGGTAGATGGATAATATCTGCCCAAGAAGAACATTCAGATTCTTACATGCATACTGAGCTCTGTAGTGTGCCTGAAGAGATCCATGGTATCATAACTTCCAACTCTCTCTGCAATAAGAGCCTATTAAAAGAATTTTTTAAAGGTTTTAATTAATTTAAAAAAATAAAAATGATGATAATAAATGGTTCAGAGATTTACAAGGTATGCTTGAAAACAAAGTTAAGTTTCACTTCCATCCTTCCATTTTTAACTAAGCCTGTGAGTAGTATCCTGAGATAATTATTTTAGAGAACAAAATACTTTCAAAATATTAAACATTTAACATGTAGGCAACTAAGCTAGTATTTGCTAATCTAGAGTACCACAACATACCCTAGAACAATCTCATCATCACACTGACAACCAGCAGAAATGCAAATCCCAGTGCTCCCTGTCCAAAACTGACACAGAGGACAGCACAATGCCCTGCTCCCATGTGCCACTGCACTTAATGAGGACAGGAAACTGGAAATCGCCCTCCTGGAAAAGCCTATCTCTGCTTGTGTCAGACAACTTGAATTAGACTACCGTTGCTGAACCATTTAGCAATATATTACAATTCAGACAAGCCATCCAGTCACCTCCAATACTATTTTGTAAGTGATATGATCAAAGTAAAATAATCAGTGACAGATCCAAACTAGTAACAATCTGATTCTACCTGGCAGTACAAAAATCTAAACTTGGTCAAAGAGAAAATACTCATGAGTGCACATCCCAACATGAAGATTTTATAGAAAATTAGAAAAAAATAACCATAATAATCTTTGTAAATGTGAATCATCTTTACAAATGCAAGCTTATTAATAGTTAATAGGCAAGCTAATAATAACATTTATGAGATTTAAAGTTTAATAACTGCCAGCTGGGTCACAATATTTACAACACCTGAGTTTAAATGTCTAAATCTTTAAAGAGTATAACAATAGCCACACCTCAAAGAATTGACAACAGATAAAGTAAAATATTGTATTCAAAGGCATTAGCACAATGATTGGCATGCAATGAATTTTCAAATGCTACATGTAATGTTATCAACATTAGCACTAATAGGAGGTTATTGCATATTGATAAGTTTGTTAATAATTGTATATCTTACTTGTCCAATCCAGCACAATAAATAAGATGGATCAAGGGACTGAGCCATTTTGAATGCTTCATGGGCTTGCTAGGTAAAAATAGCAAAAAATATCACATCAAGCAATTTCATAAACTTCAGGGGTTTAAAAAGCATAAAGTAAGAAAATTCAAACCTGTCATGAATATATATAAATGTAAAATTTCATTATTAAAGCACAATTAGAATTCAGTGTTTTAGCTACACAGTCTTAGAATAATGCTGTGCCTCTACAGGTGAAGAGCTCTGGTCCCCTGTAAAGTGATACTCTAGGTCTCTATCTTTATCTGGATCACAGTCACTGCCTTTAGGTCTCTGTCACCTTTTCTGCAGACCATTCAATACCATGTGCTAACTATGTGTAAGATAAATGATTAAATAGGGCTGACTCCAGCCTCCCTTACTGAGGGAATAACACATACAACCAATTGAGCTGAAGATATGACCTGCTCCTAGAAAGAGAGATTAACAACATAATTCTACAATAGGCAGTCAAGAAACGTTAGAGATGTTCCTCTCTTGGACAGTAAGTTCATATGTTCCCTGCTCCCTGCTTTAAAAACAACAACAACACACTTATTCCATATTGCTTTCTGCTGTTTCAGGATATTCCACGTGCTGTCAGGAAAGACCTTTTTTAAGAAGAAAGCTCATGAATGATTGTGCCCAGGGGACATGAGACTCAACCTAGAGCCTTGCCCACACCAAGTATGTTTTCTTTCACTGAGCTACAGCTAGAACACCTTCACATATGTCAAAATCTAACGTAAGAATTTACTTCAATTCACAATCTTACAAAGCGGATCATTGTTGCAGTGTGTGACTAGATAGAATCACTCATGTAAAAGAATATTACGCATTTTTTTTCTGTCAAAGAACTGGATTTAGCACACTAAGCACACCAAGAAACAGTAGGATGTGGCACTATCCCTAGACTTGTGAAGGCTTCCCACATATGGCCTATAACATGATTCCAGAAACTCCACTCTATTGGCTCAACTGGGAGGAATTCCACTGGGATATTTAGGGGTAATAACATTTGCTAAAACCAAAATCTAAATTACAACATTAATGGTTAAATTTAAGATATTAAAAACTACTAATTGTCTCTCTTATCTTCACTCACCCAGCGAAAAATGCCAACAAACAACATCTCTTATATTTGTGCTGTTACCAAATGAATTCATAAGAGAATTGTTTTCATCTATAAAAACTACCTAACAAGGCTGAAGTAAGAGGATGACTACTACACAGTGAGTTCAAGGCTTGTGTGGACTACATAGAAAGATGCTGTCTCGAAGGGTGAAAGTTTTATATAAATATAAAATGAGAAGATTCATGAGTTTCAAGGAAAAATTTTTCAACATAATAAAGTAAATGCCACCAATTAACTAGGATATTTTACATACTGGATAGATAATACATATAGGATTTCTTTACAACTGATAATTATACCTCGATGTTTTCAGTCGCAAGGTATAACACTCCTAAGTTGGTCCATGCAGCGGCATTCTAAAAGACATTTAAAAGAAAACAAGTCTCATTCAGAGAAGCTTTTTTTTTACAGTGGGCAGCAGTTAATACAGACTCATAACTATGAACACAGTAGGATGTGGCACTATCCCTAGACTTGTGGAGGCTTCAGTGTTCAGCCCTAAATAGGACATCTATAGCACACCCTCTAAAACTCAGGAAACATGTCAGAGAACAGCAAAAGGAATGTAAGAGCTGGAGGGCGGGAGGGGCTGCTCAGTCTTCTGAACCGGGCAACATTGGCTGCTGCACTCAAAAAGTCATAGCAGCAATGGTTACCTGCACAAGATCTGTACAAGACTGAGTACATCAGCATCCTGTAGAAACAGGCCTCCCGGTCTCCATCAGCCATCAGCTCCCTCACTGGGGGTGGAGCTCAATGAGCTCAAGGCTAATAGAGACCAGGATGCCTATCTCTACAGTGGTGTAGCTACTGTTAACGTGGCCATACTCCACAAATAACCCCGTATCCATGCTCACACAAGCAATCCAATTAAGGTCAGTAGCTCATTTAAAGAAGAGGAAGAAAGAGGAGGAGGGAGAAGAGGAGGAGGAGGAGGAGAAGAGGAGGAGGAAGAGGAGGAAGAAGAAGAGGAAGAGGAGGAAGACAAGGAGGACGAGGAGGACGAGGAGGAAGAGGAGAAGAGGAGGAGGAGAGGAAGAGAAGAAGAGGATGAGGAAGAGGAGGAGAGGAGGAGGAGGAAGAAGAGGAAGAGAGGAGGAGGACAAGGAGGAGGAGGAGAGGAAGATGATAATGACATGAAAGTAGGACAGGCATTTGGGAATGTAGGGGTCAGTGGAGGAGGGCGGAGGGTTAGAGCATAGGGAGCTGGATATTTCCAAAACATCTTTGGGTGTGTACAAAACTAGCAAAGAATAAATTAAACTCAACGTTATCCTTACAATCATGCACAAGTACATATACACACACTCAATAAATAAATATAATTTTTTTAAAGTGAGAGAGACCCTTCCTCAACACAGCGTAAGGTGAGGACCAACTTCATCCCAAAGTAATCCTCTGATGTCTACAGGCACACCTGCACACATAAAATGAACTAATTTTAAAAGCAAATTATTGCATCAAATTTTGCCGATCTATTTGCAGATGCACAGAGCACTTACAATTTGTTCTGCCTGGATTGATCTGATGAAACAGTGCTGAGCAAGAGCGTAATTTCCAACTCCTGAAACATACAGAACTTAATGTAACTGAACTTTGCTGCTCGAAAACAAACATCGTGTAAACTAAAAAAGAGTAGTACTCAGTTCTTACCACGGTAACATGCAACCACACCAAGAGCGTTCCAGTATAAGTGATTATTACTGTTCAGCCGCACCGCCTTTTTCAGACACTAAAAAGAAGTGAAATTAAATTATTTCTTGAATATCAGCATTTATACAAATAATATGTAGTTTAATGTTTAAATAAAGTATTAATAACATCTTCCATTAAATCACTTGGGTTTTAGTTCATAAAAAACTTCTCATACATGCAAAGATTTCTCCAGTAGCTCAGTAAGATCATTCATGCTGCTGCCAATTTCTGCTAGATGCTGGGCTTGACGGTAATAATTAATTCCAAGATCACACCATGTATTAGATGTAGACATCAATTTTAATGCACGACCATAACACCTGCAGAAAAATACAAATAAATGGTATGGTCTTTTTAAAAATCTAGTGTTCAAATTCAATTGGAATGCCAATGACGGGCAATCTCTGTAAATCACCTTCCTCCAAGACACAGGAGCCCATCCTTCTTTAAGACTTGTTGTCCTTCCTGCTGGCCGAGAAGGGCTCCCAAGACATGAACATGCACTTTAGATGGTGAAACAGGATGCAGACAGGTGCAGGCATCTCCCACGAGCTTCCAAAGGCAAGATACATCAGGTTGATGCTGCAGGGCCCTGCCAGACAAACAAAAGCTTTCAAAATTGGGTCCAAAAGCTGTCACTCAGAACTTTGTATCCTTAGACCTATATACAGTCTTGACTGAGGGCAATGTCAGGCTCTGCATATGTCTCACTGGTCATTTAACAGAACTAGAAAAAAGGCAAGGTGGGAGGAACTGCTTATTTTATGTGGAAGGAAATTTTGCATTTTTTTTCCTTCATCATAATTGTTAAAAGCAGCAGAAACCAAATACATCATTGGCAGCACTCCAGGACTAGTTTAAGGCAGTTCTGTTGTTGCTGTTTCAGTTTAGTGTTAGTTAGTATTAGGGTTCTAAAATGTGCCTTTTTGACTGCTTATCAATAATTAAGGCAATGACTTTGTTATAAAAGCCCCAGACTTTCAACTTCCCCTCAAAAGACTAGAAAATTTATTGACTATATCTGTACCAACTATATTTGGTGATAACAAAGGATTTTTGCTGACTACAAAATAACAAAACTCTAACCAGGAAAACATAAAAGTCTTAATTCAGAAGCAAGTAAGAGTCTAATTTTTTGAGTTCTTTGTATATATTGGATATTGGCCCTCTCCAAATAACCCTATTAAGAAATGGGGTACAGAGCTGAACAAAGAATTCTCAACTGAGGAAACTTGAAGGGCCGAGAAGCATCTAAAGAAATGTTCAGTATCCTTAGTAATCATGGAAATGCAAATCAAAACAACCCTTAGATTCCACCTCACACCAGTCAGAATGGCTAAGTTCAGAAACTTAGGTGATAGTAGATGCTGATGAGGGTGTGGAGAAAGAGGAACTCTCCTCCATTGTTGGTGGGATTGCAAGCTGGTACAACCACTCTGGAAATCAGTCTGGTGGTTCCTCAGAAAATTGGACAGAGCATGTACCTGAGGACCCAGCTATACCTCTCCTAGGCATAAACCCAGAAGATGCTCTAACATATAACAAGGACATATGCTCCACTATGTTCATAGCTTAATGGCTATTATTTATAATAGCCAGAAGCTGGAAAAAATCCAGATGTCCTTCAACTGAGGAATGGATACAGAAAATGTGGTACATTTACACATTGAAATATTACTCAGCTATTAAAAACAATGAACTTGTAAAATTCTTAGGCAAATGGATGGAACTAGAAAATACCATCCTGAGTGAGGTAATACAATCACAAAAGAACACACATGGTATTCACTCACTGATTATTGGATTTTTAGCCCAGAAGCTTGAAATACCCAAGATTCAACTCACAGACCACATAAAGTTCATGAAGAATGAAGACCAAGTGGGGTTGCTTTGGTCCTTCTTAGAAGGAGTAACAAAATACTCATGGGAGCAAATATGGAGACAAAGTGTAGGACAGAAACTGAAGGAGGGGCCGTCTACAGACCGTTCCTCCTGGGTATCCATTCCATGTACAGTCACCAAAGGTAGACGCTGATGTGGATGTCAGGAAGTGCATGCTGACAGGAGCCTGATACATCTGTCTCCTTAGAGGTCTGCCAGAGCCTGACATATACAGAGGCAGATGCTCACAGCTAACCATTGAACTGATCATGGGGTTCCCAATGGAGGAGTGAGAGAGAAGACTGAAGGAGATGAAAGGGTTTGCAGCCCCATGGGGAGAGCAACAATACCAACTAACCAGAGCTCCCAGGGTCTAAACCACCAGCCTGGGAGCACATAGGGAGGGACCCATGGTTCCAGATATGTATGTAGGGGAGGGTGACAGTGTCAGGCATAGGTGGGTGAGGAAGTCCTTAGTCCAGTGAAGGCTGGACACCTCAGTGTGTGGCAGATCGTTGGTGGGGAGGTGGGAATGGGTGGGTGGGTGGGGACACATCCTCATAGAAGCAGGAGGAAGGGGGATAGTATAGGGGGTTCCTGGGGTGGGGAGAAAAATGGGGAAAGGGGATAACATCTGAAATGTAAATAAAATATCCAATTTAAAAAAAAAAAGAAGCAAGAAAGAGCAGCCTGAAGAAAGACTCAGAAAGTAAACAGAGGCATTGGGAGAGACATGAAGAGCTAGTTCCTTACAGAATGGAAAGAATCAGAGCTACATGTTTCTCTCCTCCCTTCTCAAGCATCTCACTGTAGGGCAAATCCCAATACCCAGCTACGACAAACTGCTGTGTCACAAGCAGATGGAGAAGCAGACGGAGTCTAGTCAGGATCCATTTCCCAGGTCTTCCTGAGAAACACCAAGGCAGTAGTAACCCAGCAAAATTCCTGTGAGATTCAGGAGGAAGGATAGTATTCCTAAGTTCCTTTAAACATCTTGTCAGTTTTCTAAAGTTGACACATGAAAGGAGAAAAAAGTAATATTCTTTTTTTAAACAATAAACTAACACTATCTCTTTGTTTTTGTTGTTGTTGTTATTATATTATTATTATTATTATTATTATTATTTTTTTTTTTTTTTGGTTATTTTATTTATTAACATTACAAATGTTGTCCCCCTTCTGGATCTTCCCTCCAGAAATCCCCATCTTATCCCCCCTGCCTTGCCTCTAAGATGGCATTCAGCCACCCACCCACTTCCGCCTTATCCCTCTAGCATCTCCCTACACCGGGGCATCAAGCCGCCACAGGACCTCTTAACAGCTCAAACTCATGGCTTTTCAGCTTTAATTTCTTTTTAAAAAACTAAGTTTTAAAATCAGCCCAGTGAAATAGTTGCTCTTGAGGTGTTACTGAGACTGTCTTTGAAGTTGTTCTCCTCTTGCCTTTGCTCCTCAAGTGGCTTAGGTGACAGGCACCACAGCATAACATAATCTGTAGATTTGGTGTTACCTCTGTGTGTGTGTGTGTGTGTGTGTGTGTGTGTGTGTGTTCGTCTGACTGCAGAAGCCATCAGCCATCCTGCTCTATCCCTCTCTGTCATATTTTCTGACACATGGCAGATGACCTCACTGAACCCAGAGCCAGGCTGGCACCCAGTAAGACTCAGTCCTTCTTGGGCTTGGCCTCCCAAAACAGCAGAGTTAGAGGCATACATGAAGACACAGCCAGCCTGCGTGCTGTGGATTTAAACTCAGGTTCTCATGCTTGCCCAGCAACTTCTCTTACCTGAGAGCATCCTCCTGACCTCTAACTAGTATGTGGAATTATTAAAGTCATCTAACACAACTAATATGTTGCACTTCTATAATATTCTAGATTTAAATTTTCCAGGTTCTTTAGAAATTATTAGATACAGCACTTTAGTCTTATAGTTGGCTTCTCTCCAAGATTATTGGGAAAGCTTGTTTTTCTTTACCTTCGGCCCATCTAAAAGCTGAAGCAGACCCTACTGATGAGTGTAAAGCATGCTCCATACGTGAAGCTCCAGGCCTCTATGATTTGCAGCAGACAGCCACCATGTCAGAGCCAGGAAAGAGAGTTCTAACACACTGACAGACCTGCTGCTCCACTAGCGGCTGCTGGATCTCTCCTTTCTGCAGCATGGCAGCCACCACAAAGAGCACAAGACGTCTCTCCCTATGTAAAAGTAATTCAGTTTGTATGCTACAGAATTAATTGGCTAGTCTGTTATTTATGTTTTAACAGTCTGAATAACTATATGCTATATCTAGCAGCACAGGCATAAAATTATATTCCAAATTTAGCTTTATTATACTACCAAGCAAGCAAGTGCTAAACAAAGATGGTACTAACCGGGTGAAATACCCCAGCGCTTGTGCCACATAGTCCACAGCTTTTCCGTCCAGGAAATCCACTAAGGCCGCCTTCCCCAGCATCAGGTGGCACTCACCTAAACCTGCAGTCAGGTGAGGTTGTGTACCATAAAAATATACAAAACAAACACTTAGAATCAACTTGAGATAAACCTGTTGTTCTTTTAAGAACATTTCCCAGAAAACAAGGCAGTGTTATTTTATAAAATTATCTCTAAATACAATCTTGATACATTTAGAAAATAGCAGCCTTATTTAAAACAGCCAGAAGCTGGAAAAAATCGAGATGTCCTTCAACAGAGGAATAGATACAGAAAATGTGGTACATTTATACAATGGAGTACTACTCAGCTATTAAAAACAAGGAATTTGTGAAATTCTTTGGCAAATGGATGGAACTAGAAAATATCATCCTGAGTGAGGTAACCCAGTCACAAAAAAAAACACACATGGTATGCACTCACTGATAATTGGATATTAGCCCATAAGTTCACAATACCCAAGATGCAACTCACAGACCACATGAAGCTCATGAACAAAGAAGATCAAAGTGTGAGTGCTTTGGTCCTTCTTAGAAGGAGTAACAAAATACTCATGGGAGCAAATATGGAGACAAAGTGTAGGACAGAAACTGAAGGAGGGGCCGTCCAGAGACTGCTTCACCTGGGTATCCATCCCTTGTGCAGTCACCAAAGATAGATGCTGATGTGGATGTCAGGAAGTGCATGCTGACAGGAGCCTGATATAGCTGTCTCCTCAGAGGTCTGCCAGAGCCTGACATATACAGAGGCAGATGCTCACAGCTAACCATTGAACTGATCATGGGGTTCCCAATGGAGGAGTGAGAGAGAAGACTGAAGGAGCTGAAGGGGTTTGAAGCCCCATGGGGAGAGCAACAACACCAACCAACCAGAGCTCCTAGGGTCTAAACCACCAGTCTGGGAGAATATAGGAAGGGACCCATGGCCACAGCTGTATATGTAGGGGAGGATGGCCTTGTAGGGCATAGGTGGGAGAGGAGGTCCTTGGTCCAGTGAAGGCTCGATGCTCCAGTATGGGGGAATTTGAGGGAGAGGAGGTGGGAGTGGGTGGGTGAGTGTGGACACATCCTCATAGAAGCAGGAGGAGGGAGGATGAGATAGGGGGTTTCTGGTGGGAGAGGAATGAGGAAAGGGGATAACATCTGAAATGTAAATAAAATATCCAATAAAAAAAATTAATTAAAAAAAAGAAAATATCTCACATGTCAAGGTTCTCTTGCAATAAAAAATAGGCACTAAAACTCACAGGAAGTTATCTGTACAGAGTTGCCTTGACTACAGATGTCAGTTTAAAAACAGTATTTGACCTTTTATATTAAAATCTGTGTAGCAAACTATACAGTAAAAATTAAATGAAATAGTAAGTTCCTCATGTGCCAGGAAATATTTCATAAATGTAAGTTCTTTCTTTCTCTTGAGAAAGGATTTATACATGGAAGAAGGGAAAGAAGTGAGAAGAAAACCACAAGTGATTCCGGCTGCAAACCAACACAGGAGCTCAAGAAGAGCCTCTCAAATTAAAGGCTTGTTATGAACAGGTAACACACTCTCAAAAACTTAAATAGCTACTATAACTTATAGAATCATTTTTAAATAATGATTAAGATACTCTGGGAATATAGAAATAGCAAAACATAGAGTGGTGGTTTGAATGAAATTGGCCCCCAGAGGCTTATAGGGAGTGATATTATTAAAAGGTGTGGCTTTATTGGGGGGGCAGTGTGTCACTGGGAGTGGTCTTTGGGGTTTTAGATGTTCGAGCCAGGTCCTCAGATCTAGATATAGAGGTCTCAGTTATTTTTCCAGCACTGTGGTCTGCATGCCACCATGCGTTTGCCATGATGACAGTGCAGTAAATCTCTCAATTGTAAGCCTATCCCAATTAAATGTTTTCCTTTGCTGCTCTTCACAGCAATAGAAACCCTAACTAGGACACATAGTATCAGAGACATTTGTTTGGAAGATATATATAGGGTCCAATAGCTTTTGTTCTGTTTGTCTAAAAGTTAAATCTCTACCATATTACCATTTATGAACTGTTGAGGAAACAAAACTTAATCTTTTTATAATCAAATCAAATAATCAAATTAAGAAATTCTATTAAGGGCTGGTGAGATGGCTCAGTGGTTAAGAGCACTGACTGCTCTTCCAGAGGTCATGAGTTCAAATCCCAGCAACCACATGGTGGCTAACAACCATCTGTAATGATATCTGATGCCCTCTTGTGGGGTGTCTGAAGACAGCTACAGTGTACTTACATATAATAAATAAAAAAATTTAAAAAAAAAAAAAAAAAAAAAAAAAGAAATTCTATTAAGAATTTTTGTCAGATACTTGCCCTTGGCTATATTATTTTCAAGTTATTTAATACAGGAAGTTAGAAAATTACTTGGAGGTTTTATAGTTCAGTATTATAAAAAAATTTTTAAAAAGAAAGTCTTAAAAAGAAATTACCTTTTAAGGCAGGCACATAATCTTCTTTCTTTTCAATGATCAGCTGATACTGTGTAATGGCCTCTGAATACCTGCCTAGGATTTGCTGTATCGCTGCCACTTTAAACACACTGTATGTAGAGTCTGGGTTGAGCTCACTGGCTCTTGTGAAAGACTTCAAGGCTGTTGTGTAGCCACCTCTGCTTAAGTACGCCTCTCCTAATGACTCCCAGCAATTGCAGTCCTTTGGGTCTGCCCTTAATGCTGCCTGTAAACTAAAACATTTAAGAAACAGTGAGAGAATTATAAGAGAAAGAACTATACCCACATCTAAAGGAATATATAAAATAAGCAATGCAATAAAATCATCCATATGTCTCCGACTTGCAAGTGTCACACTTAAAACAGTCCTCTTTCTTTTACAATGTGAATGTTTTAACAGTAAGAAGACTTTCTGAAGCAATTTTTAAAAAATAAGAACAAAATGTTCTTTTGGGAAAATGCTGACCATGGTATCCTTTCCTTTATTATCTGACAGAACTCCAGTTTTCTAACTTACCAGGATAAGTGGATGTCTCTCTCAGTTCACCTGTCAGTCTATCAGCCTGCCAGTCTTCCTACTAAACACAGAACTACGAAGGATGCTTATACTTCTAATCATTGCATTCTTATGAAAAAAATCTGAATATTTACATTCTAAAAACTAACATACATCAGAAATGACTTATCTTCACTCAATATTTTTACCCTGAATTACAGTTCAAACCAAATGACTAAAATCAACTGCATAGGATTCTCTCCAAAACACCCTTCAAGCTGCCAGTGTCTACCTTGCCTTAGCCAACAAGTAACAGTGTAACAGCAGAGAGAGCTCATCTTTTATTACTGAAATGTCACCCGGGGGACCTACTGCATTATGATGCCAACAGACTTAACTGGCTAACTCCTCAACCAAGTGCATGCCTTGACCACTTTAAATTCCACTGCTCTGCAAGCAATAAGCACCCTGTTAATCACAGTACATTTTGTTACCTTTCTCTCAAAATGCATCTTGGTAAGAGGCTACTTATAAAGGTCATGTGGTTAGCAAAGAAATTTAAACAAGCACTCCACTGTTTAATGTAAACACAGTAAAAGGCCTTACTCAGACACTGCTTGAGAATGTTGACCGGCTTTCAAATAGTGGAGTCCTCTCCTCAGCCACGCCCACTTCGCTGTTCCAGCACTCGCCTTCTGAGTTACTGCTGTCAAAATAGCTAAAGCAGTTTCCTAATGACAAAATATCAATGTCAGGGACACCAAATATGAAAATACAGAACAATGATACACAAGACATAGACACATTTTCAGTTCCCATTTCTAGGTTTTTAATTTACAATGAAATATGTAAAGTAATTATAATAATAAATGGGAAGTCGGGAAATTAGAGCAGAAGGACCTGAGGCCAGATCTGCAGATCTCATGTGAAAGCTAGGGGCAGGAGTGCTCCCGTAACCCCAGCACTGACAAACGGGGACGGGGACCAGATGGGGCCCTGAAGCTCACTGGCAGGTTAGCCTGGCAGAACCTGTGAGCTTCAGGCTCAGTGAACAGTCCACTCTCAAAAATTAAACGAGTAAATCTATGAAGGAAAGACACCAATGACCGCAAGACAATACACTCATGCACATATATGTACCCATGAATGTCACCAATCCATGTGCATACCATGTAAAAGTATACATGGAAAACTGACAAGTAAATCAGTATCTATCTACCAAAGAAAAGAAAAATGTAGCTTATAAACAAGTGCAAAGATATTTCTATTTTACCTATGAAGAAAAAGAAAAACTAATGATAACTTTCACGTAAATACATTATAAAAACCATTCCCATTTATATGCTGAGAAGAGACAAGAGTGGTCACGAGACAGACCGTGTCTTCAAGCTCCACGCTCAGGTCAACTGCAGCAGCCCCAGACTCAGCATCGCTGTCATCTAAGTCAAACGCTTTCCTGTAACACCCTCGGGCTCTGTTTCTATCTCCAGCCACATCTCGGTAATAGTGGCCTAGGTAGCAGAAAACTTTACCCATGTGTGCATCCAGTCTCGCAGCCTTGGAAATAAACATCAACAATGTGGTGTTAAAAGTTTGTCTCAATGCATATAGTATATATGCACTGATACAGCACACTGATTAAAGAAAAGAAATTATTTTATTGAAAGTATAGAATTATGACAAACAATCCTTTAGTATGAATTTAAAACAGAAGTGAAAACTGGCCCACATTGCCTATAGAAAATAGACACAATAAACTAGCAGTTCTTTGGTAAAACAAATGTAAAATTAAAGCCATTGTCAAATTACTATGCTCTCCTGAGAAGATCAGAATTTAAGACATAGATGTTAAACATCTATAAAAACAGGAAGCTAAAAACCTAGACTCATAGACCACAAACTACAAAGTCATCAGCTAAGACAGTGTTTCTTCCAGTCACCATGGCTAGACTTCTATAACAGAGATCTCTGAAACAGACACTTTTATACTTTCAGGATTTACATTTTTACCTAGAAAAATCCACAGAATACTCTCACAAAACCTCTTCTATGAGACAAGAAATGCAAAAAGATACTTCAGCAACTAGTCATTTTAAATAAGTAATCTAAACCATTCGATTGCTTAACAAATGTCCACTCTAACAGAAACACTTAGCAGCAGTGCTGGCTTACCTTCAGAAAGTGGGTAAGAGCCTTTGTTCTGTCTTTTCTTGTTTCTTCACCCATGAACCAGTATGTCAACCCAAGCTGGTAATGATATTCAGCAACTTCAGCATCTTTCTCAAGTGCTCTCTGGAAACTAAATCACCAAAGGGAAGTGAAAAGGAGTGTGTTTGTATATGTATTGTTTGCATGTGTGTATGTGTGTGGGAGCGTGTTGTACATGTGTGTATGTGTGTGTTTGTATATGTATATGTGAGTGTATATGTGTGTGCACATTTGGGTGTGAGTGTGTGTAAAACATAGACTCCAAAATATGTGTGTGTGTGTGTGTGAAATTTAAAAGACTACAAAATAAAACAATCAACTTAGGTGATTCAAGAATTGTACAAATGTAGGAGCTAAAGAGACGGCTCGGGGTTAAGAGTACCTGATATTTTTCCAGAGGACCTGGGTTCCCAGTACCAACATGCATGCCCAAAATTGTCTATGTAACTACAGGTTCAGGGGATCTGACACCATAATCTGAACTCTGCAGATACCTGGCACACATGTGGTACACATTTATACAAGCAATACACTCATATGCATAAAATAAACAAAAAAATTTCCCAAATCTAAACCATGTCTTGACTCCAGAATTTAGACTATAATAAGCAAAAAATTATGTTATTAAAGAAGAGTTTTTAAGAAGCAGAGGGCCAAATAGTACGCTGGCTAACTAAGTATTATGATGAGCTAGTTATATTAGAAATTCATTACAGAGAAATTGATAATTCCTATGCTACAAGTGAAATTGAACACACATGCACACATGCATGTGCCACAGAAATCTAAACTTAGACCTTCATCAGGCCCATTTCAAGTTTTTGAAAGAAAGGAGGACATTACTGGAGCACAGTCTTACCTCATTTCTGCTTGCACATAGTCCTTCTTAGCAAAGTGAACCTGGGCCTCAAGAGCGTGAGCCTCAGCTAGATCAGGGTAAGAGGCTACAAGGTCTCCCATGATCTGTGGAGGAGACGCTTGTCAATTCCATAGCTATTACAAACAAATGGGGGCTGGAGAGGTGGCTCATGCGTTAAGAGTGCTAGTTGTTCTTCCAGAGTCCCAGTTCAATCTCCAGCACCCACACGGTGGCTGATAACCATCAGGAATCCCATGCTCTTCCTTGACCTCTGAGGGACCCAGGCACAAACATGGTACAAGGAAAATACCCAAACACAAAAAAATACAATAAAATATTTTTAAATGGCTTTTGAGTTTTATTTCTCAGTTGGGTGTTTTGTTTAGTTATTTTAATTTTATATTTAATTTTGCTCTATATTTGGCTCTTGGGACCAAAATTAGGGCCTTAAAGTATGTAGACAAATACTGTACCATTGAACTAAATCCCCAAATCCTCTTTCAGATATCAAATAGTGCTTCACTTGAATTAAATGCACCAACCTTTGTAGCCTTGTCTACAGCCCCTGTGTTCAGACAGGCCAGGCCTTGGAGAACCAGCAGTCCTGGGGTATTATCTACATCAGAAACCTAGATGGAAAACAATAGATATCTGTTACAAATCTCTCCAGACAGCTTGGCGTGTTTGCTCTACTTAAAGAAGAACCATAGAGGAGCAAGATGTGACAGAATATAGTCAGAACATAGTCCCATCACTATCCAGATTTTCAGTCTTTACCATTCAATTGCAGAAACTTCAAATGCCCAAGAAAGTTAAGGAGAGCAGACTTACATGACTCACTATCCAGCTACAGAATATAAACTCAGATGCATTGACTTCCCATGAATATACCCACCTTTTGCCATACTCCTCAGATGAATTTAAAACAAATGTCAGGTATTATAGCTTCTCATCTGTGATATTTCAGCATACACATTTAAGATAAAGTCATTTGTAAATGGCAACCTTACTACCATTCTCAGATCCAAAGCCAACTGCATGGCTCTCTTAGCATCAGATTTCCTAGTTGCGTCAGGAAGAATTTGAGAGACTTACTTTAGTCAAAATTCAACTAAGGTACATATATCTCAATTAGATGATAGTTCTTTTAAGTAACTTTTAAAATACAGGGTCTCCTTCTATTTTTCTTCTTTCTTCTTTACAATTTAACTGTGACAATACAGACCATTTACCATAGTGTTACAACATTAAGTTTTTATGAAGGGTGTTTTTATGCTACTTGACATTCTCACTGGTCCCTGTGTCAACACATAGGGCTGGCCGCCTGACCTGATGCGGGTCTGATGCTCTGGTAATAATGTGCTATTTGTTGTGCTTGTGTCGGACTATCTTTTTATCTGTGGAAGCCACTGACCCTCAGCACCTACATGTCTTTATTCACGAAAGATTATAAAAATGAAGATTTCTAATCTATCATAGCAATTTTCCTTATCACACAGAATACTTAAAACAAGAGAAAGTTCCTCTATCTGTTTGGCTATCTTGAGGAGCAGTTCACAGAGCGGCATGACTAATGCTTTCACACTTCACAGTGTGTTCCTTAGCATCAGCCAATGATGTGTTTTCAAAAAAACACATCACTAATTTTTTTGATTTTTTTCTTTGTGGTAGCGTCATACACACTGGAACTTAAACACATTTAAACACAGTTTCCCCTCAGTCCATTCATTGTTGCCTTGGTGGTCAGCTCCGATCCCATCTCCTTAGTGTGGTTCTTTTATACTTTCTTTGCTTTCTAGCACAACATGATGTTTTGCGCTCAACATATTTTCTGTTTCCGATATGGGCTCTTACAGTTTTTAAAGGAACATTCAATTATATTTTGGAAAGGGTGGGGAAGGCATTGGAAAGGCATCTATAAAGCACCTACACAAGATACATCAACAAGGAGAGCATAAAATGCTAGGTCTTCTGAGACCTAGGTCTCAGTATAGATCAGGATGGCCTGGAGTTCATAATGTATCACAGGTTGGCCTTGAACTCCTACCATCCTTCTGCCTGAGGCTCTGTGCTGGGGTACCAGGCACGAACCACCACATCCTGATACTTAAAAGAGTTCTTGAAGGAGGCCAAAGGCTGATGTCACTTTAAAGAAATCACATAGACTGCAAAATCCTTTGAAATACACAAAGCAATAATTTAAAAAAAAAACTCACAATAACTAATATATCCGCCAAAGCACTAAAATTCATGATCTCCCACTGTGTTCTCACTATCACCTGCCCACTGTGTTTCTCACTAAGGAATTTCAGTTCCCTCCTTTAAAAACAAATCAACATCGGTGGATGAGGCAAACACTACATTTTTGAACATGAAGCTGTTAAGTCATCAATTGATCAATAATCTGTAAAATATTTTCTAAAGAAAAAAATTAAAGTCCTAAATTGTTAATAACCAAGTAGTGCTATTTCAAAAGGAAAGAAATGAAGGGGGGGGAATGTGGGAAGCCTTTGGGGCTGCTTGGCAGGAATCTGACATTGGCCAAGGACAAGGAATTGAGCTTTAGACAAGAATCTGACTTTGGGCCATGACAAGGAAGTAAGTTTAGGCAGGAGTCTATTTTTAGGCTAAAACAGAGAAGTAAATTCAGTCAGGAATCCTAGTCTTAGGCTAAAACAAAGAGGTAAGCCTCGGGCATGAATATGACTGTGGGCTAGGACAGGGAAGTAGGCTCAGATACTTTGTCATCCTGATGAGCCCTTAGAACCAGCGATCATGAGAGTGATCACGGGGTGATCACGGGACTCTGTATATTGCCTTGTTTGTTTCTTGACTGTTTCTATTGTAATGTTGGTTCTTCAAACCTAGAACTGACCTAAATACTTGCATGTAATTAAAAGGGTTTAAAAGAAAAGTTGAATTAAACCAACCTGCCTTCAGCCTCAGAACTGGCTGGGGTCACGCTACAGTTTTGTCTAACTGTCTCTTTTCTTTTAATCCTCACTCCTGTGCTGGAGAACCTGTTGACTGACTGAGCGGGCTTGGTCAGGTGGCGCCCAATATGGAGCTCCAGAAAGGGGGGGGGGAGGTACAGTGAAGAACACCATGGGAAATTGGAAGCGCACACAGAGCTACTTACAGGGGTAAGTAAAGTAAAGAAGATTTGGGCCAGCAGTAAGTTGCCCCATAAGGATGGGGCAAGAGAATGAAAGAATGCCTTTTGTATATATGCTTAAAAATATGCTAAAAGCCAGAGGAGCGAAAATAAGTCAGAAACAAATTAACCAGTTTCTGATTTTTATAGGAGAAATCTGTCCTTGGTTTCCTGAGGAGGGTGCAATAAGTTTACAGACATGGGAGAGAGTGGGAGAAGAGATAAAAGGGTACTACACAGCACACGGTCCTGAAAAAATTCCCATAAATGCTTTTAGTCTTTGGACCCTGACTAGAGACAGTTTACACCCTAGACATGGGTTTGAGAAAAACAGTCCTCCCCGACAATCTGGGTATGCTTTAGAGAAAGAGAAGGAAAATGAACTTAAGCTGTCTCAGAGTTCTCCTAGGAACAGTGGGAGGTCAGGAGACGTCCTGCCACCTCTCTGTCTCCAAGTGGAAAAATGCTTGGTTCTGGGTCCTGTAGGTAAGATATCTGGATCCCTTTCATGGGACATCTAATCCTCTTTCTTCTCTGTCTGTTGTCTGTCCTTGGCGCGCCAATGTCCACGTGTGTCAATTGTTTGTTTTTTGTTTTGTTGTCTAAATGTTTGTTCTATGTTGTATATTCAAAATACAAAAAACAGTTAAAACTGCTACATATCCACCCCTTGGGCTAGTTTAACTTGGTTTTAAAGGCAGCCTTAATATGCACAGCAGAGGTTGATAAGTTACCCTACCTACACCTGTAGCTAAGAGTCGAGCTGAACTGGAAAAGCTTCTCCAAGAATTGATTGTTGGCGTATACTGCTTTTAAAAAAGACCAGTAGCTTTTTTAGACTTTATAAAAAAGCTGAGAGTTGTTTGTCCCAGAAAAATCTCTGTTACAAGGTGTCTTTCTCTTAAAATTACAGCTAGAAAAAGTTCAAATTTTGTCTGGTTTTAAATAAGTAAATGTGTGCAGCCACTTCATTTTCGTTTCTGATTGGTTTTTAAAAGTATAAATATGTTCTACATGTCTTGGTTATAGATTATTGGCTTATAGTTTATTGGGTACAATTAAAAATTTATAATATTGGTAACAGAAAGTTGGTTTAAAACTGGTGACTCAGGGTTAGAGTCATTCTGAACAACAACACATGGCATGAGCTGACCCAGGGAACAGGCCTCTAAAGATATGCCTAAACTAAGTAATATTTTATGTATTATAAAGACTTATAAAAGATTTAGGACAGTGTCTCTTTGTGGTATCAGAGGCTGTACTGTCTTGCATTCATGTGCAGAAATTGGCAGCCAAACTTTGCAGCATGGGGGTGTGTCTTACATTTGTACAGGAATTGACAGCCAAAGTTTGTAACATTGGTGTTGTTAGAAACTAGTTTGATTGTTGGAGGTTGAATTTTACTTTCCAAAGTCATGGTTGTGCTCTGGTGTGTTAACAAGAGAAACTGGAAAGTTATAGTTAAATTGTCACTTTTCCATTGGCTGCAAATTACAGTTAGATCACAGGTTTGGGATTTTAACTCACACGTATTTATAATTAAGGAAAAAGTTTGACAGGTGGAGATTGTTTCATGGTTTGCTGTGAAGGGTTGATGAGGCTATAGAACTTATAGAGACATTGCAGCCTGACTTTCAGCTGCCATCCCAGTAAATACATATAAAATTATTATAGATTTAGAATAAGTTTTTATACTGTTCCTTACATCCTGGTAAAGGTGATAAGGTTTAAATTCAGTGAATTTGCTTGTAATTTTTGAGAGCCCATGAAGCGATATCTTTAGAAAGCTTGCCTCAAAGAATGATTAATGGCCTTAAAAAATTTGTTGTTGCTTTAATACAAAAAGTTAATCGTTTGCATCTCTTAATGTATATTATTCATTGTATATTTTATTGGCTGATCTCTCTGAAGGAGTTTTTCTACAAGCCTTTACTCTAATACAATAAGCTTTGAAATTTTGGAGTGCTTGTGACTCCAGAAAAGATTCAAAGACAATATCTTTTCAAAATTTGGGACCTCAGTTATATCTTAAACAGATTGTGGCACAAAAAAATTCCAATAAGAATGGATAGTTGGGGCTGGAGAGATGGCTCAGCCATTAAAGGCTAAGCTCACAATTAAAAATATTAGAGTTCAATTCCCAGCAACCATATGGTGGCTCACAACCAATTGTAGTGGAATCTAGAGCCCTCTTCTGACTTACAGGTGTACATACAAAAAATGGCTTACTTTTAATGATTCTCAAAAGTTGTTAAGAGATATTAATTGGCTAAAACCTCATCTTAAGCTTACCAAAAAAGAACTTAAACCTCTGTTTATTCTCAAGGGAGATACAAGTCCTAATTTCCCTCGACAATTAACAGATGAAGGAAGAACTGCTTTGCTGAAAGTAGAGTAAGCTGTTAGTTATCAACAGATACATTACATAGACTGTGATCATTTGTTGGCTGTTTGCATTATTGCTACTCATGTGCT